GACCACAGTCCGTGGGGTGTGTGCCCCCCGGGGGGGGTTGTTTGGGCCGCCGCCGCCGCCGCTGCCGCCGCTGTGTTTTTCCCTCGGCCGATGCTCCTCAGCTCCTGTGCGGCGACGAGAGTCCCGGGCGCCGTGCTCCCTAACGCGTGACCCTCTCACGTCGTCCTCTTGTATTTCGGCGAAACGCGCACGATCCTCGTCGCGTCGCCTCGCGCCATGAAAACGCTTCCGCGCTGTCCCCGTGGACGATGACAACGACGATGACGAGGACGGGGAGGACGGCGATGGGAGCCTTCTGCACGGTGTGAGCCACCGCGAGAGAATATTACTATCACAAAATTTGCCAGCGAGAATCTCGCTAAGTAGTCGACCTCCTCCAAGAGATCACCTCTCCACTACTTCACGAGAGGGGCAAGTTCACGTCGGTGCACACTACACACTCATATACAAAGACACATACACGTATCTATCTCTTTCTTTTCGATATTTCTTCTCTTCTTCTCTTACACGGGATCACAAATGATTCGGTCAACCCTCCCGTTTGCGCTTAACCCTCGCTGACGGTGGGTGCTCGCGCACACCACACCACTACCTCCAGCAAATCATCTGCGATCGGGGATTCGAGGCCGACCGGTTGGGATTGTCGGGAAGCCTATCTCGCTTGTCGCGGATACTGACTGCCCACACCACCGTCACCACCTCGCACCACACGACACGAAAGTCGCGAGCCACAGCCGAATTCGGCCGAGACGGCAGACGCGCGTCAGCGTGTATCACAACCTAGAACGACGACCGCCGTTGTATTCAGTGTTGTATGAAGTTGTTCAAGAGTGGGGACGCGTGCGTATTCACTGTACTTGTCGCAAACGAGAAAAGTAACTAGACTAAACGAACCGCGAACGTTCGCATTGCGATTTGCGATTGTTGGACAAAAAGAAATACAACGCTGTCTCTCTTTCTCTCTTTCTTATTTTTTTTAAACTGTTTTTCTTTTTTTATATCATTTAATCATTGACTTGTTATCAAACTATCGTTTAAATCATGAATATTTAAATAGACGTATATATTATGCACAATTTACAAATGATTTCAATTTTTTGTTTGTTATACTTTTCATTTAGCCTGCCCGAACAAATTTTGTTATTTTTATTGATCTGTTATATCAGATGCTAATAATAGCGAAAGATATAACAGGATTTATATTTACATGACTTGACAATAGAAAAGCACAAGTACATAATCGTTTCGTTTGTTATTCATAGAAAAGATCGATAGAATAATGTGATGCCTTGTCTTATTCATTATTGTCATTTAATGGAAAATACTCTTTCTGTTAGTACTGAAATCTGCAAGTTGTTACGTTTTATACTATTATAGATTTTCAATATTGGTAATTTAATGTATATAATATCAGAACACGATTTTTGTACATATAATTTATTTTTTCTTTTTCTAAAGAATAATTAAAGTTGGGCTCTTGAGATAAAAATTAAACAATAAATGAAAACACGAGCAATTAAGAGTATAAATTCGCAAATATATAACAGTATTACATATATATAACAAATAATTATTGTTATATATATGTAGTATTGAGAAGTATATATGTGATACAATCACTCCAATTATTGCGAATTTAGGCTCTTAATTGTGCGTGTTTTCATTTATTGTTTAATTTTCTGTTTCTCTCTCTACAATATCTATAATTGATATCTAGTACATATTTTATAATATCTATTTATTTCAAAAAAGAACGATTCCATGCAAAAACCAAATCTATCTATAATACTCCATAATACTCCGATTAATTTGAAATTAGAGCGGCATTGATAGTCAGTAAATTTTATATACCCAGTTTTAAGATATAAGTCAATTACAGAGCCGTTTTATTAGCATATTTTAAGATATTACTTAAGACAGTTTTAAGATAAAAATAGATTATGAATGCCGATCCTAATCTTTTCTTAACAAAAACCTTTTCAAGTTCTACGTCAATTTAAATGGTTCAAGCTTTAAAATCTCTTCTCTCTCTCTCTCTCTCTCTCTCTCTTTCGCTTTCTCTCTTTTAAATGTCACACATCACACGTCACATATGCAGCCGTATGAATACTGTGAACAGACCTTCATTATCGATACTCGACGTCTCGACGTCGACTTTTCGGTATCAAAATAATCGAGTTGCAGCGGAGCGGAGTATCGATAAGCCGTCTAGCAGCTCCGGCAAGCTCGAACTGGCTCGAACTTCGAAGCTTCGGGGCATCATGCCATGTTCTCGCGCATCGTCGCACGTGTAAGTGTGCGCTGTCGCTTTGTGAGTCAGCAAAAAGAGAAGGGAGTTGACGATAATCTGTTGTTGAGGCTGTTACGAGCGTGTACCGTCAGAAACGGTGGGATCCAGGACGCGCGTTACTGCGTGAAAACGTGTCAGGTTGCCGTCAGCGAGCCGTGTGGAGCGATGTCGGGCGACGAGAAGCCGTTTCGCCGTCTGCCGTTGTGCGTGCGTCCCTATCATTACGATATCTCGTTGACGCCGCATATCACCACCTTCACCTTCAGCGGCACGGAGAAAGTACATCTCAATGTGAGTTCTGCTACCCGCCACCATTCCTCTTTCGCTGCCACTCTCTGTCCTTCCCTTCAGTGAAGTAGAGTCGAATGAGAGATGGAGAACAAAGCGGCCGCTAACCATATGGGAAACATAACCAAGAAACGCCCCGCCCCCGCTGATCCCTTCCTCGCCGCCGCGCGCGGTTTCTGTTTAAATAGCATCTAGATTCGAATCTGATTGGCAAACATTAAGGCGGACCGCCTTATCTTCTAATTGCCGGCAATCGCGATTTTAATCTCTTGATTTGCTCGTTAATTTCGCAGTGACACGAATTCTATTTGCACTTACGAATGTTATCTATTATTTTTCCTCCCGTTAATCATATTTCATGCTTATCTTTGCGACATACATAACAATTGCGAAAATTTTCTCTTATCCATTTTTTTTCTTTTTTTTCGGATTACAGGTGGAAACTTCTACGGATACCATTGTATTGAATTGTTTGGAAATCAATATAAAACACGCAAGTTTTTATGGAAATGATGGCAAGATCATTGTACCCGTGCAAATTGTACTATCAGGATCGGAGGAGACAGCCACGTTGGTGTTTCCTGAAGCTCTGCCATCTGGGAAAAGTGGATACCTGAACATAGAATTCATGGGAGAGATCAATGACAAGATGAAAGGATTTTATAGAAGCAAATATACTGGGTAAGAATACAACTGATATACTGGTAACTGATCACTTTGAATATATAAAAAAAATTATCAAACTGATCTCTATCTAGCTGTCTAATTAGAAAAAGAACCTTTTTAACAATATATTTACTGTTTGTTAATTTTAGTTCCTGAAAATTATATAATATATGGATAAATGAAGACAGAGTGTTTAAACTATGTACTTATATGTATCTTTCAAAGGCAAGATGGTAACTGCGCTGTAACCTATTTGTGTCCTACATCAACACGGAAGTTTTTTCCATGTTGGGATGAACCATCGTTTAAAGCAACCTTTGATATACATCTCACAATTCCATCTCAGCCATGTCTCATTGGGTTATCGAACATGGTGAGCATCTTTGATACAACGTAGAATTTTTTATGATTTCAGAGAGGACGGTACCGTTGAATACGCGGCGGTTACCCAGTTTGAGCCGACAGATGCTAGACGTTGCTTCCCATGTTGGGACGAGCCAGCGCTGAAAGCAACATTTGACATTACGCTAAAAGTACCAATCGGTCTTACAGCACTTTCCAATATGGTAAGCAACGCCGAGCATCTACAATATTATTTGCTTCTCTTTTTCTTTTGCTTTCTATCTTGTAATTTATATTTAAAGTAGATGTATGTACTTTTTTCTTATGCTTTTTTTTTGTATTTGATATTTGTGTACATTATTTGATACTTAAAATTAATGTTTTATATGTTGATTGTTAATCTGTTAACTATTTCTTATTGTATACCATTCATAGTCGGTTCTTATATTTAAAATCATCTTTTAAGTGATCAGATTAGAAATTAATATTGAAAATGGATTTGAATTTAACTGAACAGAAGAAAGAACTAATCCTAAGTTTGATAAACTTTGCTCTGCTCATGACTTTAAGATATCGGTACAATCATAAACTATTTACAAGGCTAATATCAAAGCCAATGACAAAGCCAATATAAACACTATTTTAAGACTATGACATAAAAAAAACATAAACAATAAGACACAATAAGCGAATCAACATTTTGGATTTGTTATTACCTATGTTATTGCCTTACATTCACTGATTCTCTTATTGCTAATGTTTTTCTATATGCTTTAATTTTAACATCTTAAGACATTACTTAAGTTTTGTAATGATAAAAACGGACTATGAATTCCGATCTTACTATCAACATA